TAGCCAGAATTAAGCAAAAATAGCAGAATTAAACAGCTGCACAGTTGGCCATCCAGGCCAGGTGGGCCTCGGGGAGTTGGAAGCTGCTTCTCTGCCCTGCCCGTAGCCCTCCAAGATGACAAGGGCTGACGTAAATCATCTCAGCCCAGAAGTGGGGTGGAGGCTGCAGCAGATGGCTGTGAGTTCTGAGTTCTCATCGGCCATGTTCAGCTGTGGCTTTAAGCCCTTGCTCAGCTTCCCTGAGTCCGTTGCTCTGCTGTGAAGACCCTCAGCATTCAAGGAGACAGTGCCTGGGCACCACAGTGCCCTGCATATAGCAGGCGCTTAATAAACGGCGGTGGCCGCATTCCACCGTCATTTTACCAATGCGGCGTCGCTGTACATTGCCCTGTTGCTGCAGCCCTGGTCTCCTCACAGGTCCTCCCTCCCACCCTGTACCTGGCGTTTAAGCGGCATCACACAGGGCCACACACGTCAGCTAGGAAAGAGTTTTCTTCTCTTGGGACGAAAAGATAACAGAGAAGTTAATAGACACCAGGTACTATTCTAGCACAGGTAAAATTTAGAACCCCTCTATGAAGTAGGTGTTACTTAGTAATTAATCAACATTAGTTATTTCATTAATCATTAACCAATTGAAAAAGAATAGTGTTGAATAATTAATCCAAAAGAAGAACATGGAGCCCAGAGAGGTTAAGTAATGACTCTAAGGTCACACAGCAAGCCAGCATCAGAGCTGGGATTAGAGCCCAGGTGTTCGGGCTCTTTAATGGCTTTTGCTAACCTGAAATGCAGAAGCACCTCTCCCCCAGCCTCCGTGGTCAGCCCTGATGGAAGCGTGGAGAGCTCCAGGAGCTGGGAGGAGGCCCAGGTGGCTGGAGAGGGAGTGCTGGGGACAGCGTGGGACTGAGCTCCGAGAGGCGATGAGGGTGGCAGTTTGAGAATTTGGCATCTGTGCTGAGTGACCTGTCATGCGGGCAAGTATACAGTGGGGCAAGTGCCTGCTTACATTCTGGGGGGGAGGAGCAGAGAGCAGGCAGGGGAGCTGGCCAGTGTGTTGGGAACGGGGGTGCTCAGGACCACCCGACCCCACAGTGCTTAGGACTGCTGACCCCACACCTGCACAACTGGTGTATTTGGATGAGGTCTGTCCCTCCCTGCAGAATGTGAGCTCCAGGAGAGCAGGGTTTTGTTTTGCTTTTGTTTTGCGTGGCTGTAGCCGTCAGAACCCAGCAGGGTGCCTGGCAGAAAACAAGTGCTTGGTAAATATTTGTTGAGTGAGTGAGTTCCCCTTGTGGAATTTGGCTGAAATCTTATGTCAGTTGAGGCTGGTATTAGGATGCAGGAAATGGCTGCTCCTCTAAGTCCAGGACGGTGGTTGTCGTTGGTGCTTCCGCCCACCCGGTACCATCCTGTTCACCCATCTGCCTTCATGCTCCCCTACTCTTGGGGTGTTCTCTCATGAAGACACAGTCATCCTGTTCCACATCCCAGCTCCTCGGTACCTAGTAGGTGCTTAATAAATGTCAGTCCGATGAATGAATATACAGAAGAAGCAATGAAGGAGCAAATGCAGTGGAAATAGTCCTCTCTGGAGCTGGAAGCCCCACACGGAGGCCTCATGAGGGTCTGCAGAGACCAGCTGTCCTCATGACCTCCAGGAGCCTCACGGGAAAACCTGACTCCAGAGGAGAGCCGCACCGCACCCAGGTGGCAGCCAGCGTTTGAGGAAGAGTTCCCAAAGCTTCTCAGGAGCTCAGAGAATCCCCGGCATCTCCCAGGCTGCCGTCGGTTTGTGGTTTGTCTGTCTTGGTGGCTTGTTCCCGTCCTCATAAAAACACCCTGTGATCTGTGCGGCTGGTTTGCATCCATGGTGAACTGATGTGGGGGAAGGGGAAGCTGGGGCTGTTGGAAAGACACGCTTAGAATTGGCGAGGCCCACCCCAAAACCTAAAATGCAATAAAATAAATTAAAAAAAAAAAAAAGAATTGGCGAGGCCCAAGCAGGCAGACAGCCCAGCGGGGCAGGAGGTCAGTGTGGAGGTGGTTCTCAGACGGCTTGGCAGGGCAGGAGAGGGTATGTCCAGGCAGATCTCAGGAGGGCTTCACAGCAAACACCCAGGGCTCCTTCCCAGGAGGGCCAGGCCTGCCCAGGCTCAGAGCTGAGTGAACGTGGGGTGATACAGGCACGGTGTCTCCCTGGGACCCATCTGGCCCCAGCGTGAACTGGCAGTGGTCACTTTCTGGGCCCCCCATGTTTCATGGGGTTTTGTTCATGTCTTGGGGAATTCCATTTTCTCAGTATCCTGGGTTCTCGTGAACATTCCCATGGCAACAACCAAACCCCCAGTTGTCTGCAGGGGTGCAGGGTAATGACAGCTTCCGAGTTCACTGGGAGCTTCTGGAGACAGCAGAGGGGAGGCTGAGGCTATTCAGCTTAAAACTGCGGATGAAGGCCGGGCGCGGTGGCTCACACCTGTGATCCCAGCACTTTGGAAGGCCGAGGTGGGCGGATCACGAGGTCAAGAGATGGAGACCATCCTGGCCAACATGGTGAAACCTCATCTCTACTAAAAATACAAAAATTAGCCGGGTGTGGTGGCAGGCGCCTGTAGTCCCAGCTACTTGGGAGGCTGAGGCAGGAGAATTGCTTGAACCAGGGAGGCAGAGGTTGCAGTGAGCCGAGATCGCACCACTGCACTCCAGCCTAGCGACGGAGCAAGACTCTGTCTCAAAAAAACAAAACAAAACACAAACCTGCAGATGAACCAGCGCATGAGGTCATCGTGCCTGAGACGTGGGCCCAGAGGAAGACTTCACCTTTTAAACACAGGCAGAATATCCCATCAACCAGAGCGCTTTGCAGAATCAAAGGTGGAGACCTTCGCCCTCCTCAGTTAAAGTGGTTCTGTTTCAAGGTTATTTTCCAGAAGAGAGGAGCTTATAGCAGCCCGAAGGAAAGGCTACCTTTGGGAAATTGGCAAGAATGTCCCCAGTCTCTCTGCCTCCTCCTACGGGGCTCCACCCACCTCCATCTGAGCCTGGGTGCCTCCTGGCTGCCAGTCCCAGCAGGGATGCCCTCACCTCCCCTGCCAGGCTTCTGTTTCCTGCTTAGGCTGAGTCTGGCGGCCTCAGGAAACTACGTCCATTGTTAACCTTCTCTTGGACACATTCGTCCGACCTCATGATGTGCGAAGGCTACAGGCCTTTGAGGTCCAAAACTAAATAAAAGTGAGTAGAACGTGGCAGGGCGCTCACATCTGTAATCCCAGCACTTTGGGAGGCCGAGGTAGGTGAATAACCTGAGGTCAGGAGTTACAGACCAGCCTGACCAACATGGCGAAACCCCATCTCTACTAAAAATACAAAAAATGAGCCAGGTGTGGTGGCGTGTGCCTGTCATCAGCTACTCAGGAGACTGAAGCAGCAGAATCGATTGAACTCAGGAGGTCGAGGTTGTACTGAGCTGAGATTATGCCACTGCACTCTAGCCTGGGCAACAGAGCAAGACTCTGTCTCAAAAAAAAAGAAAAAGATGAGTAAAAGACTAAAAATCAATAGAATTGTAAAATAAACAAAATATAAAAAATAAATGACCAACCAGCTCCAGCCAGGGGAGGAAAGTGTTGGGTGCCCCTCTGTCCCGCTGTGCCAAGGCACCTGCTCACTTTAGGACCTGGGTCATCTGCGGCCCTCGGCTGTCAGGGGTGCGGGGGGCAGGTCCGTGGGGCAGTGGCTGTTGTGGGTATGTGCCGTTGGAGGGGGCAGATCCCACCCCCTCCTCAGTCCTTTTCCTGGAGGCATACGTGGCCAACTCTTCCCATTTTGGGAGGAGTCTGGACTTTTATATTAAAAGACTCCGATTTTAAAGTGTTGACCATCAGGTCACCACATATATACATGAGAGGTAATGACAGTGAAATTCCAGCATGTTGTCCAAGCGCCCAGGAGCGGCTGGGGGCCCCGGAAAGTGTTTTCTGCGATGGTTCCCAGCGTGACCTTTGCCCACGCTGTGGCCTTTTCTACCCAATGCCATTTCCCATGGGTTTCCTCCTCAAGGACCACCAGGGTTCATGGTTGGTCTGCAGGCCCTGTCCTCACTGTCAGGGTCCTGATGGTGCCTCTGGGCCAGTGAGACCTGTTCAGAGGGGAGGGAAGGACACTCAGAGGGTGAGTAGGTGAGAGTCGAACCCTGGGCACTGGGGATTGAGTGCTGTCCCTCCAAGCAGGACAGACGGATTGTCAGGAGGAGGGGACAGAGCCAGGAACACAGCTCCTTCACTCTGCTCCAGAAAATGGGCCTGGCCGACGGGGGTCCCCTTTTCCCAGAGGGGTAAGTGAAGGAATCTGGACTCCAGGGTCTGAGTGCCCTTGTCCACTGGAGTCAGCAGTCAGGGCCAGAGCCTGAGGCTTGGAAGCTCCCTTGAGGGTGTGGACTCTGGGTTTGCATTCTGAACAGGTGTTCACTTCCCAGCTGTGTGACGGGCAACAATGCTGTCCTGTGCCTCAGTTTCCCTCTCTGTAGAAGGAGGCTACTTCTGAACCTACCTCCTAGGCTGATGATGGGGATGATATGACTTAAATGCAGACAAAAGCTTGCACCAGTTCTGGGCACATAGGACAGCATTAATAAGGCTTTGCTGCTGTTGACAAACTACCTAGGCAAAAAAGGCAGAGGATGGAGATAAAATTTTTCAAAACAAGCAAAAAGAGGAAGTCACCTTTGCATGAGAACAGAGTTCTGCTCAAATGCTCACTGGGTTTGGAACCCAAGGAGGAGAAGCAGGTGCAGGGCTTGTTTCCATACGGCTTCCTGCCGGGAGTGCCGCCTCTGGAGGAGCCTTGTTGTCAGCACAGAGGAGGTTGGGTGCCCCGCAGGGCCACTCGGGGCTGCTCCGGAGTGACAGGGCTGAATCGGAGCCTGCTTGGTGCAGGGTCTGGGGTGCACGCCCATGGGCGCAGGCTGCCCTGCTCAGCCGGGCCTCTCCTTGTCCCCACAGCATATGCGAGAGGCGGCTGAACGGCGGCAGCAGCTGGAGTTGGAGCATGAGCAGGCCCTGGCTGTTCTCAGCGCCAAGCAGCAGGAAATTGACCTTCTGCAGAAGGTAAGTGGCGGGCAGCTGGGCGTGGTGTGCAAGGTGGGGAGTCTAGGGGTGGGCCGGGGTCCCCTGGTGTTGGGGAGCGGCCGACCTGCAGCCTCTGCTCCCAGGCCTCTCCCGCTCTGTCCTTGCACAGAAAAATTCAGGCTCATTTCTGCTTTCCTGCTCTGGTGTTTCCTAAGTAGACCTGTGTTCATGGTTTATAACGCAAAAACAGATGCAAAGCTCTAACATCTGATGCTGGTGAGGTTGCAGGGAAAAGAACATGCGTAGAGATGGCTGGCAGGGTGCAAGTTGTTTCAGCTTCTGGAAAAAGCAGTGTGCAGCAGTCGGTAAAACCAAAAGTGCACGTAGAGGGTGACCCTGCCACCCATCCTGGATGGTGCCCTGCGAGGAGTATGGGAACCAGTTCAAAAGGAGTTTTGTTTTCTTGTAGTGCTGCTTTGTAGCAGTGGGGAGGGGGACTGGACCCAGTTGATGCCCACCTAAGGATGATGGCTGTGGGCACAGTGGCTCATCCACGCCAGGGGCCACCTCATGTTAGGGAAAGCGAGCGCGGAGGTTTGATTCTGCTGTCTTCAGGCTGTTTGCATGACGTGTCACCAAGTGAACGCACTGAGTCGCAGAGCAATATTCATAGCGTGAGCCCAGTAAGAAAGGAAAAAAAGGGAGACAAATGAGAAAGGAAAAGAAATCAGGGCAGGAAGGAGAGAGGCACCAGGGAAGGAGGGAAGGAAGGACTGAGGGATTTGGGGTTTTTACCCCCTTGGCAGCTGTGATGCATCTGGGGGCTGTGAGGGGTCCCCTCACCCCAACTCCAGTCCTCAGCCACGGTCCTGCTCTCTCTCTCCAAATGGGTAGGAGGGTGGTGCTCCCAGAGCCCGTGGGCTTGGGGTTCCCCCAGGAAGAAGTCGGAAGGTGGGAACCCGTGAACTGTTGTCATTTCATTTCCTTCCAGAGCCCAGTGTCTGCACCCAGCCCTGCCCTCTCCTCCTCCCGGCAGGGCAGCTGCCCCTATGGCTGGAGTGCAGCTCGCTGGTCTGCAGCCTCCCTGCTCAGGGCCGGCTGGGATGGGCCATTCCTCTGCCCTCCATGGCCCCTCGGCCCACCGGACAGCTTCTCCATGTCTTGGTTCTCAAAATAAAGGACTCACAGTCATTCACCCAGCCTGGGTGGCGATAGGAATCTATCGTCGGAGCAGCGGTTCTCCTCCAGAGTTTATTAGCAGAGCTTATTGAAACAGGTAGATATGTTCTGATGCCGTTTCTCTAATCATTTAGAACGAGATTGTATTAAGGATAAATTTCATTAAGGCTGCGCTGATGGGACCTTCACAGCCCTCATTACCTGTCATCATAAGTTGGCAGGCACCCGGAGAAGCAATATTTCATTAGATATTATCCGCAAGGGATATTGCGGGGACACGGGCAGGAATATTGCTCTTTTATCTTCTCCTGCCATGCCTCAAGGACCTTGCCCGTGGCCGGGTGATGGCTGATGGTACCCGCGTCATTCATCACCACTCCAGAAGCCACGTCCCCAGTCTGGGACCGTCTGAGACAGATAAGAAGTCTGTAGAAACGCAGAGACTGTCCAGGAAGGGAGCAGGATGTCTCTTCTCAACAGAACATTCTCTCGGGGCCTGGAGTTGGGTTTACCAAGCATTCGATGCCAAGGAAAGTCACCCGGGGCCGTCTCTTCTGTGACCTGTCCAGTTCCTTGGCGCCCTTCTTCCCCTACACTAGCCGTGGTCTCTGCTTTGGACACACTGATGCTTCATCAGTGGGGCGGGGGCAGACGGAGAGAAACTGGTTGAAATATGGAAGGGCCGATTTTGTAATTTCTAGAGGCTTTGATTTAGTTTTTAAACACGAGAAGAGGAAGGCCGACTCCTGGGTGGCAGGAGGTCTGGGGCTGCTTTCCGGAGTGGATCTTTGCGTTCCGTTTCCCCCGTGGGTGCCGTCGCGCTCCACTCGTGACCAGCTTCCTCATGCCGTCGTTCACCGCATGTCAGCCGTCGGCCCCTCCAGGCAGCCACTCAGCTGCTGCCCCAGAAGTGGGAACCCTGCGGCAAGTGGGACAGGGTGCTGGCCTCCCAGGCTAAAGAAAGTAGATGAACGAGTAAATGAAAAAGCAAGTAAGCCCCAATGAAGGCGGGGGCTGAAGTAGCGGATTGATGGGGCCGTGACTTCAGAGACAGGTGACATTTCAAGGAGCAGACGATGCCCCCCACGTGAGACCCAGGGTGGGGTGAGCGGGGGTTATGGAGTAGCGCCCACAGGGGCCCCCTTGGGAACCAGCCTAGCACATCCAGGGAAGAGGAGGAAGGCCGGGTGGCTGGGTGCAGCCAGGGAGGGGCCAGGGCTTGAATTTGGGCCTGAGGCACAGGCTGGAATGCTTGCCTCCACCATGAGGCACGGATCAGCTGAAGACTGGCCCTCATCCTCCTACCAAGATAAACGTTACCAATCGTCTTTGAACTCTCCAAGGCGCAAAGCCGATTCTGATGAGAGCACCGTGGAGCCGTCTCTAAGGAGCTCTCTGTTCTCTCTTTCTGCAACCCCAGCTCTTTCTTGAACGTGTTCTCACAGGACCCCAGACTCCACAAGTGGCTTCTGTTCATGTCATCCATGTGAGGGCTTACGGGCCAGTGGGTAGTTCTCTGTTATTTTCTTTAACCCAGGGGCCCAGTTTGAGCTTATGGCCTCCAAGGACACTGCCCTTTCCTGGTTTCCTTCTCCACCCCAGCCCCCCTGCACGTCGCAGGTGACCCCAAGACTTAGTTCTCAAGCCACATCACTTCTCGGTCCACACTCACCGTCTTGACCTCGTGTAGATAAGTGGCTTTCAGCACCGCCTCTGCGTGGCAGCTCCTGGGTTCAGACCTGCAAGTCAGAAGACGCATCTGACCCACCCTCTGCTCGACACCGCTGCCTGGCTGGCCTCAGACGCCATGTCCCCAGTGGAGCTCCCCTCTGTCTGCACCGAAACCTGTCCTTCTGCTGAAGTCCTTGAGCTCTGTACACAGCAGCACTTCCCGTTTCCGTACGGCTCTTCCTTTCCCTGGAGTTAACTGCCTTTCCGTCTGCTTCTCTGCGCACCCATCATTCCTTTGTTCCCCAGTTCCTAGCTGGAGCTGTCATATTCCTCTCAGAGAGTCTCAGTCCTCCAGGGAACTTCTAATTCCATTTTCCCCTTGGAGATGCCTGCCTGGAGCCCCAGCCTCTTCCTTCATCTGGATCCTAGAAATTCCCCTCCTGCTATCCAGGGGCCTCCTCTCTGCCTCTTTGTGCTCTGATCCTCCGCTTCCTCAGCCCTATCATGTAGTATTTCTTGCCATGCAATGTGAGGCAGGAGTTTATTTTTCCTGAAATACAGGTGGATTGTGCTGCATGTTGCAGTACTTGGAGATTCCTTTGTGGCATCAGCCTCACCTCTATACCTGACCACGCTTCAGAAAGTGCTGGGTATTCCAGTGTCTCATATCGGGGACCCGCCTCCTAGCACCTTGTCCAGGGGCACCTCTCTCCCAGGCAGCCCCACCTGTCATCCTGCCCGGCGTGGCAGTCAGAAGAAGCATGTGAGATCATGTGAAAAGGAAAGCATTCTTTTAATTGCATTTTAGGTTTTGGGGTACATGTGAAGAACATGCAAGATTGGGACCTAGACATGGAAAGCATTTGTTAAATCAGAGAAATAATCCAATGGGTGAATGAATGAATGAGTGATCAGCTGCCCAGGGTTCTCCTCCCGGAATCCAGGGACAATGAGCTCACACTGCAGCCTTGGCTCTGGTAGCTGGGGAGAGGCACGGTTTAAAAAAGCAAACGGCAGCCAAGCCAGGACCCATGCCGTCTGCTGGCAAACACAGGTTCTCCCGGGAGACTTTGCTTCCTGGAGATCAGGAGCAGGAGGCTCATTCACACATCCCTGCCTCCATTCACTCAACAGACGATTACGGAGCGCCTTGTGTGAGCAAAGTCCCAGCAACACGCAGCGGGGTGAGAACAGGCTGTGGGTGGTCACGACGATGGTGGAAGTGACACTGGGCACAAACCCGCTGCTGCGGCATGTCCAGGCTGGGACCGGAGTGCAGGCATGGCCTCCTCGAGCTGCGCCACCCCTGCCGCTCCTCCCCCGCCCCACGCTCCCCCCGTGCCCTGCTCTGCAGCTGCGTCCTCCTCTCCCTGGACTGTGCCAAAGCCAGTCCCCTCTCGGAGCCTCGTCGACAATGCCTGCTCCCCAGGTTGTGGCAGGACCAGTTCATTTCTCTCATTGAGTCTCCCTCAGACCAGACGCCACTTGAGGCCCAGACGCAGGGCAGGTCGCCCCGTCTGCTGGTGCAGAACACGCCTGCTCACTCATGTGGCTGCTTGCCACCGCTCACCTCCACCTGCTGGTGTTTTAACTCCATGAGAGGCTCATCGCACTCCTCGGACGTCACCTGACACCTGGGAGCTCCCCCGAAAATCCAGGGTGGACGGAGGTGCTTGAGAGATGCGGCAGGGTTCCGTCAGTCGGGGCAGTAGGGTCAAAATACCATGGATGAGATGACTGACGATACATTCTCACAAACACTCAACAAACGCCTGTGGAGTGAATAAATGAGCAGTCAGCCCTCCTGTATCCTGCCGGGCGGAGGATCCATTGCTTTCTCCGAGTTACAGATAAGGAGGCTGAGGCTAACCTGGGACACTTGAGACCCGATTCCGAAACCCCAAGGCTTCCTCTCAGGTGAACAGTCAGCCTGAAGTCCGGCTGCGCTGGGATGCTTCAGACTCTCCGTTTCATGTGTAGGTTACGTCCTTGTCTTAGGACAAGCAGCGATTATGATAATCCAGTGGTGTGAGCTAAAGGGCTTTTCCATGTGTATAATTCATCTGCAGACCTGACTGACTTTATTGGATCTAAAATTCCTCTTGTAGGATGACTGCTTTCAGTCTGAAATGTGATGCTGAGAGGAGCTGAGCTCGCTGCCCAACGCATAGCTAATGCTGTGGCTGAAGTTGCCACGCTGCCCTCGGGTGTTTGGCCTCAGTTGCGTGTGGATGGCCGGGGCGGTTGGTCGCTGACCCACCGTGTTAATTTCAGGCGGTGTGTGCCTCAGTCCTGTGTGTCCCTGGAGTATTAGAAACCGTCCCTCAGTTCTGTGGGACTCCTGATTTGAGGGCCCTTGGTAGCCCTTGGCATAGTTCCGTGGGTCTCATGGATGTTTCTGCAGAGCTGATATTTCATAACACCCATGGAGGCCCTTGCTCTGCTCCGTCCAAGCCAATGCCTGTTGTCCGGTCACAGTCGCCGGGAGCCTGGACGGCTTATTGCTCTGTGCCCCGTCCACCCCAGCCAGATGCCCAGCGCTTTGGCCACAGGGAGCCTGCCCTCCCTTGTGTGAGCCTGTCTCCCCGGACACTGCTGCAGGGCCCGCTGCCTTCCCGGATGGCGGATCCTCTGGGTAACAGGCCTGTTCCTCAGGGCCGCCCTCCGGTGTCGGGACCTCCAGCGTCCCCGTTCTGCAGAAAGCGCTCTCTGTGAAGGTCACGCTTTCCCCTTGTTGGCCCCGAAATGAGCCTCGCTTAAGCTGTCGCTTCGATTTTGTTAAGAATTCAGTGCTGCCAGTTTTAACAATCCATTCTGATCGTCCAAATGGCCCAGCTTGCAAGTAGCCTGCAAAAATGCACTGGTTTTCATCTGAAGCTGGAAGCCACGCTGTACTGCCAGCTTGGCTGGGTTTTAACAGCCTGCTGGAGAATTCTGCTGTTGTTTTTTAAATCCTGCCAGTTGAAAACTCTCTTTGATTCAACTGACTCAGTGGTGGCGTCATTTATATAATCCCTATATGTTCCCTGCTTATTTGTGTCTTTTTCTATTTGGTTATTTATTGTTGCTCTTGCTGGTTTTTCCTTTGAAAGGAACAGCTTCCAGCATCCGGCGACCGAACTGAATTCGAGAATGGTGTAATTAATCTGCTGTGTTCTAGTCAGTTGCCCAGCTCTTAAAACTCCCGTTGGAAATATGTGAGAATGGAATGCATATGAATGAACTCTATAGAAATCTCAGACAACTTTTCATTTTTAGCCAGGGGAATGGCAGATTTCCCCTCGGCTGGGGAAGCCAAGCTCTTCTCTTTCCAGCCCGAGGAATCTTGTGAAAGAGAAGTTGAAGCTGTTAAGATAATGTTCACTTGCTTATTTATGATGTTGAATCGTCCATCACTAATTATTCTCTAGGCAGCTAGAAAAAATATTTCTCTGGAAACTGAGAATTCTAAATGTAAGTTGCAGTGTAGCATATGGATTCTTTATTATGCTCTATGTTTTAAGATAGGTGCACTCTCGTGTCAGAAAGTAATGCTGCTTAAAAATCCCTGTTTTCCTGCTCCACGGGGAATGTTTGGGGAGCGACGCCCGTGTGAAGGGTGCACAGCGTGGACTGTGGGGCAGGCGGGGGCCTGGTTCGTCTTTCCTTTTCTGTCTTGTTACAACCTCCAGAAACTGGCCTCCGGTGTCCCACACTTCAGGAATTGTTCCATGCTTTCACACTTGATGATGATGATCATTAACATTCTTGGTTTCAAGTGACAGAAAACGCAAGCAGGAGATGGTATTTGTACCAATCACTGAAAATTTAGCTTCAAGTATAGCTGGATCCAGGGCTCAAATCTGCCAGCCTGAGACCCAGCAGAATCCAAGGCCTCCCCATATTGCCAGGACTGGGCTGCTCTCTGCCCTCCTAGGGGTCAGCTTTAGCCTTGGTTGCCTTGCAGAGGCCCCAGCCATTCCAGCCCTGACCCTCCTGGTGGCAAAGTGGCTGTAGCAGCTCCAGCCTCACCTCCTCCCAAGCTGAAGTCCAGTGGAAAGGGTCCTCCCTCTCTCCCAGCATTCTCAGGCAGAGGCCTACTGCCCTCCTTAGGCCCCAGGCCACCCAGTTCACCAGTTGCTGAGGGTCCAGAACCATGCTTAGCACACTGGGAGGACAGACCCCAGCCAGTTCACAGGCCCTTCCCAGGAGAGGAGGGCATCAAAGTCAGGCAACAAACATGACAGGCCCTTACTGTCATCATGGTGCTAGGACTTCCGGCTGTGAGGACAAGAAGCCGCAGTGTTCCATTTCAGCTGCGCCTGAATCTGCCCTTTGCCCAGGCAGCAGCATCCTGAGACATTTCTGGAGTGAACTGTGTGAAGTTCCTTCTTCTGTGAGGGCCCAGATGGTTTTGCTGCCGGTGCTTTGGGGAGGGGGTCCCTGCCTCAAGCTGCAGGTGCCAGAGCCTGTTTCGTGCTCAGGACCCAGCCCCGGCCCCCCTCCAGGGCCTGGTGAGGTCTCAGGGGACCTGGAGCTGATCAGGGGTCAAGTCTGCGGGATTAGGTTTTGTTTCCAAAGCAGTTAGGGACATACGGGCAGATGAAGGTGCTGTCGGAGGCATTGGAGGGACGCTGCTGTGCTCTAGGCTCAACCGCCTTCCGTGCGTGACCCCTTCTCTGGAATGGAATGAGGGCCGCCCACCCTCTGGCCCCAGCCAAATCCCGGGAGTCGCTCACTCCCTGCCAGACTAGGAATCACTTTGAGTTTTTACAAAAAGCATCCAACCCAACCCAAATCCATTCCATCTAGCCAAGGGGACAGCAAGTGAGAACCACTTTAGAACCTCACAATTTAGGGGCTTCTGCTGTTCACTCAATCTAAATGCCCATCAGTGATAGACTGGATAAAGAAAATGTAGTAAGTTCCATGAAATACTAACGGCCATGAAAAAGAATGAGGTCCTGTCTTTTGCATCAACCTGGATGGAGCAGGAGGCCATTATCCTAAGTGAATGAATGCGGTAACAGAAAACCAAGCACTGCGTGTTTTCATTTATAAGTGGGAACTAAATGATGAGAACTCATGGACATCAAGAACAACAGACACCAGGGCCAGCTTGGGGGTGGAGGGTGGGAGGACAGTGGGCACAGAAAACCTACCTACTGAGCCCTAAGTTTGTCACCTGGGTGAAGCAGTAATCTGTTCATCAGGCGCCCCGGACATGCAATGTATCGTATAGCAAACCTGCACATGTGTTGCTGAAACTCAAAAGTTAAAAATAATGAATGTAGGGGCCTGTTAGAGGAAGAAAAATAAATGACCCCCCACCCCCAATGATTCAGACATGGGTCTCGTTGTCTTCTTTCCCCTTTGAACATTTACCCTTTTCTCTCTTTTCATCATAAAAAAGGCTCAGGTTGAGGCTAAGAAGGAGCATGAAGGTGCCGTGCGGCTGCTAGAGGTAAGGAGCGTGCCCTGCCTTCTGCCCGGGGTGGGGATGCTGGGGGGAGTTGCACTCACCTGCTGGAAATAACATAATGTTTATTAAGTGCACATGCTGCATGTCACCCTCACAAGCAGCTAGTACAACAGGTGCCAGGACGATGTCCGTTCTTACAGGGAAACTGAGGCACAGAGAGGTTAAGCAGCGTTCCCTTGGCCACACATGCAGACTCGGAACGGTGTGTCTCAGACGTGGTTTGCTGTCCTCTGCTGGCTCCTCTTGGGTGGAAAGCGAGGCAGTGTGGCTCACTCCCTTACTTGCGAATTGATTTCCCCAGGAGGAAAGGTGGGGGGACCCTCCGGAGGCCATTCTGCCCTCTGATGAGCTGCCTTGGGGTATCTTTTTAAGGTACAACGCTCATCCTGAGGAGGCATTTGTAGGATCAGAGAAAGCTGGGCCTGGGCAATCAGAGTCCCCAGCGCCACCTGAGACACTTTCCCGGGTGTGGTCCCCACAAACATGGCGTGAGTGGCCTTCTCCTGCCTCCCAGAGATGTGACCCACTGGGGGCTTGGGAAGGACAACCGCTATGTCCCAGCTGCATGAGTGGTGTGCCGGGAGTGACCAGTCCTGTCCCTGGCTCCTGGTCCAGTGCCAGCCTCCTTGGGAGTGAGTAGGCAGGCAGACCAGGAGGGCTGTGGGGTTCCCCTGAGGCCTCTGCTATCTGCATCTGTCACACACAGTGGACGGGCTATGGTGAGCTGGGGCCCCCACCTGCCGAAGTCAAGGATCGTGCCGTTCCGCACCCCGTAAGGAGAGGGTAGCACGGGAGTGGGTCTGCCCCAGGGTGGCCTCCTCCCGGTTACGTTCCCTGAGAGAGGCCGTGGTTTCCCAGCATTGGATGTGGTTGCCCTCTTTAGAATGACCTTGTCCCTTGTCTCCGGGGAGGCAGCAGCCACTTAAAGCAGGCTGTGTGCATCTCTTACGTTGCCTTTTAAAGTCTATTCCTCCCAAAGGAAAAGGTTTCATCATTATCATCGTATATATTAACATGGATTTTTTGAAAGCCTCCATTAGTTAATGACCATCTGGAGGGAGGAGTGTGATGAATAGCAAATAGGAAAATATATAATCCGAGAGAACAGAAACAGGCCTCCAAATGGCTATTTATCTCCCTGGAAAATCCTTCCCTTTCCCTGGCCCAAGTTACCCACCGAACTTGAATTTGCATCATCTCCCGGCAGGAAAGGTAGTTTCCTTTCTTCATTTGCCCCGGAGCCCACTGACGTGACCCTGTGTGGCTTCAGTCTGCCTCTGCGGGGCCACTCCATCACAATCCTGCTGTCACCTGTCACCCCCTGCTGCTGGTGGCGCATGTTCTCAAATGCGGTGGTGGTCGCAACGCGCAACTCAGATGTGCTGGGAATTGTGTTGTCTTTTATTTACGGTGTCTTTCTGTAACTGTGTCTTGCTTTGCTCTTCGCGCAGAACACCCTGGACAGCATGCAGGTATTCTAGAGAATAGCGTCTTCCCCGCCCGGCGTGCTTGGCGATGCTTTTCCTGTGAGTGGACACGGCCATGAGTCCTGGGCCTGCTCTGACCTGCCTCTGCTTCCTGAACTGCAGCTTCTGACGCAGGTGGGGGGTGGTCAGGGCTGCTCAGCCTGGGGGAGCCAAAGGAGCTGCTTCCAGGAGCTCCGTGAGCAGGGACTCCCTTCCTCCGCGCATCAGAATGCAGCGTGTTGTTCTCTGAGGTGCCACGCAGGCCCAGGCACATGGCAGTCCCCGTCCTGCCAGGGCTGTAACTCTCAGGCGGGGAGAGCGGTCCTGGGGCTTCAGATGACCACAGGGGAGAGACATTGCGGGTTGATTCTACCCTGGGGCCAGAGTTGTTGAGGGAACCTAGTGGGTAACCCTGAATTCGGTTAATTCGGTTCCTGGTCATCAGAATTCAAGCCGTGCACCTGAGCGTTACACCCTTTGTTCTGCCTCTGCGCTGTGCAGACAGCAAGCTCCTTCCCACGGGCCAGGGAGGCTGCCTGCGCTCCTCTCTGTCACAGACCACCCCTTGCAATTCCCCCTGGGGTGGAGGAGAGGCTGGATTGCCCCCCAGACAGGGCTCCGAGTTGGATGGTGAGTTCTTGGAAGGGACGGCTTTTCTCACTTCTGGACAAGTGGTTCTCTGAGTGGGTGCCCCAGGGCAGTGGCAGCACCTGGGAACTTGTGAGCAATGCCACTTCTCAGGCCCAGCCTCCCTAATCCAAATTCTGGGAGGGGCTCCAAGATCGGCTGTAATCACCCTTCCGGGTGTTTTTCATGCCCCTGAGGTCTGAGAAGCATTCTTCAGGGAGCCTGTGAGGCTAGCTCCTGGGGAAGAGAGTATTTTCAGCAGGGCATCCCCTGGGAAGCCTTGGCCTTTGCAGGGCTCAGCACCTTGGGAACCTGATCCTGACCTGAAGCTGTTGACCAAGAAACCGTGGATATCAAGTCCCACCTGCCTACCCATCCAAGAACCATCTGTGGTGTGCAGTGGGGTTTTCATGTTGAGGTGTTTGTGGCCTTGGAGAATGGGGCATACTGGTGACTTTCTGTAGACGGGACATTCCACTGGGCAGTACAGCCTGCTTCCATACCCAGCCAGACATAATAGAGAGCACCTAGATAGGATACACCCCAGAACACGTCACATAAAATCCCTGAGCACATGGTGAACCAAAGGTGTCTGATACGGGTCTCAGTCAATTGAGGACATTGCCAAGGTTGAGGATGCACCTGTGACACAGCCTTGGGGGTCTTGATGGTGTGTAACCAGGGCAGTCTGGATACAGCTTGCTTTTATGCATTTTAAGGAGACATGAGCCATCCATCAATGTGTGTAAGGTGTACATTGGTTCAGTCCGGAAAGGCAGGACAACTTGAAGTGGGGGCTTCTGGGTCACGGTGTAACCTCCTGGTGGGTTCACCTTGCCTGTTGCCTAGATACAGCCAATTTATCAAGACAGGGGTATTGCAGTAGAGAAAGAGTAATTCGTGCAGAGCCGGCTGTGCAGGGAACCAGAGTTTCATTCCTACTTAAGTCAGTCTCCCTGAGAACTTGGAGATCGGAGTTTTTAAGGATAATTTGGTGGCTAGGGGCCAGTGAGTTGGGAGTGCTGATTGGTCAGGTGGGAGATGAAATCATGGGGAGTCGAAGCTGTCTTCTTGCACTGAGTCAGTTCCTGGTGGGGGCCGCAAGACCAGATGAGCCAGTTTATCCATGGAGTGCAGGGTCTGCAAGATATCTCAAGCACTGAGCTTAGGTTTTACAACAACGATGTAATCTCCAGGAGTAATTTGGGGAGGGTCAGAATCTTGCAGCCTCTAGCCGGATGGCTCTTAAACAATAATTTCTAGTCTTGTGGCCAATTTGTCAGTGCTGCAAAGGCAGTCTTATTCCAGGTAGGGAAGGAGGCTTGTTTTGGGAAAAGGCTGTCTATTGTTTGTTTCAAAGCTAAAGTATACACTAAGCTCCTCGCAAAGTTCCTTCAGCCTACACCCAGGAATGAACAAGGACAGTCTGGAAGTTAGAAGCACCACGGAGTTGGTTGGGTCAGATCTCTTTCACTGTCTCAGTTATAATTTTGCAATGATGGTTTCAATAGGTAGATGAGAGACAAAGGGTTGCATTCTTTTGAGTCTCTGATGATCCTTCTGCTGAATACACGATGTCCATGTGAGCGGAGGGCAGAGGAACGGTCACTTATGCCTTAGCCTGGCTCAGTGAATCTGCGTTTTTGCATGAATCACAGGCCAGAAGGAACAATCAGATACGCATTTGTCTCTGGCGAGCAGAGGGTTAGAAGCTGAGCCCTTTCATCCCGTACCTGTGAAGATGAATGATCAATTTACATTGCCTGGGTGAAATTCTACAGAACTGTCTTAGGGTGAAGATCTTGAGACCCACAAGGACTCTCTGTGGGAAAATCGTGAGGAGGGTATGTAGCTTCTCATCTTCGAAGCCATCTTACTTAGAAATACAATGGAGGGCAGGTTTGCCAACTCAGTTCCCAGCTTGACATTTCCCTTCGGCTTAGTGATTGTGAGGTTCTGAGATTTATTTTCCTTTCACGGCTCCCATATATGCAACTCCAGTGCCATGGACACTTCTAGGCCCTGTTCTTTAAAGAATGAATGGCCAGGAGGTTTTGGTGGCAGCAGGGAGGTGTCTTTTTTCCTGGTCGTGCTGCATGGAGTAAAGTCCTGGGGTCCAAGGAGTACCCTGGGCTAGTTTTGGGATTTAGCAAAGATGTGCCTCAGGGTTTAACTAAACATAGAAGAGAGGTTTTCAAGAATTTGCCTGTCAAGACAACTCTTTTTGTAAACCTAAGAACCTGAGAGCAGGCAGATTTCAGATATAGGAGTTAAGTAATTTCTTTGACACTTAGAGAAAGTCGTGTCAAAACAGAGAAGCAAAAGAAAATACTGAGAGCGGCAGCAATACCTGAGACAGGTGGACTTTGCTGGGCACTGTCCTCGGAGGGCATCAGAGAGACATCTCGGCCTCTACGAGATGACGCACGTTTCACCTGATCTTCACCATATCTGGGGGAGCCAAGGCGCAGGCAGGTGACTGAGTGACCTGCCCAGGGGTCTCAGGGAGTCATGGGCGGAATCCCATTCAACCCCAGGAGTCTGGCTCCAGAGTCCAAGGCTGCGATGGCAGCTGCACAGCATAGCTTCCTGTCAGCTCAGGACTCTGACCTCCCCACGGGTGCTGGGCGGGAGCGGGGGACAGACGGGATGGCGGCCCTGGTCCTGCACCCTGGTCCTGCCTGCAGAGCGTACTGGAGGACGAATCGCAAGTCAGTGCTGGCAGCTCCGGACCGAGGGAGCGCCAACCGTGCCGCCTTCCCCTGCTGTGTTTTCCTCTGGATGCGCGGCAGTAGCAGGGCCTGGGAATGCAGGAAGTCACTTTACCCTGGGCCCTTGAGAGCTGCAGTCCTGTTTAACCCCTGAAACCGTTGCCTGAGGTTCTCTGCTGCCTTGTTTTGCTGATTAGGCAATCAGGGCACGAGGCAGTGAGCCACATACTGGAGGACACACAGCTCCAGGTGCCAGGGCCAGGCCCCGAGGGAGGGCAGGAAGCCAGCTGGTACCCCCCCTCACCAGGGCCACACCCCGAGGGAGGGCAGGAAGCCAGCTGGTATCCCCCCTCACCAGGGCCACGCCCCAAGGGAGGGCAGGAAGCCACCTGGTACCCCCCCCACCAGGGCCACACCCCTAGGGAGGGCAGGAAGCCAGCTGGTACCCCTCTGAGGTGATTTGAGAAAAGTCTGGGGGCTGTCGTGCTTGTCACAGTGTGCTTGGACTGAGACGGGGGTCTGGGCTTCCCGGTCAGAGAACCCTCCCCGTGAGAAGCCTGGCTGGCGCTGTGCGCATGTGGACAGCTCTGTGGTGTTTCTTCAGGGCACCCTCGTGGGAGTCCCTCTCCTTCTCCTTGACTGTCTGCATGAGAGACGGGCAGAGGAATAGTCACTTACGCCTTAGTCTGGCTCGGTGAACCTGCATTTTTGCGTAAATAATAGGGCAGAAGAAACAATCAGATACGCATTTGTCTCGGGTGAGCAGAGGGTTAGGTGAGTGTCCTTTTGTCCCGCACCTGCGAGGGCGTAGAACTGCAGGTGACATCGGCCCCGGTGCGTCTCAGCCTCAGAGGAGCCTGGCTGATCTTCATGAACAGCCCCCTTTCCTCCCTGGGTCTCCCTGGGGGACTATTGGGAGTGGCCAGGGTGCTTGCCTCCCAGGCAGGCCGGGGTCCACCTCCTTCAGGGGTCCGGCCTCAGGCCTGCAGTGGATGACTGTGGTCTGTGGCCCTTTGCCTTCAGGGGCCATCACTTCCTCCACAGAATAATACCAGCAGTTGTATTTTGCATCTAGGATGGGATAAAGATGAGTATTATCCAGGTTGGATTCATGATGCCGTATTTATTACCCCTTTTCACTTCTTTCCTGATTTTAAAGGAAACTAAAATGGAACCATTTCTGGGGCCCCTGAAGGTAGAGCACCATGGCCCCAGGTGCTAGGCCTGCTCGGGCTGCGGGGAACCAGCCCTGCCTGGCTCTTGCTCAGAGGCTGGGTGACCACCGGGCATGTGAGTGTGCTGGGGGCATGTGTGGAGAGTGGGGGTGCAGGCGGGGGCTCAGGTGGGCCCTGGGCGGAGAGACTGGGAGATGGCAGCCAGAGAGACCTGGGTTGGGCCTGCCGCCCTCTTGGCCCCGTGTCCCTCCCTGGTGCAGTGGCCTGACACTGACTCACCCAGGAGGTCCCTCTAGTCAGCAGCAATGCACAAACCCCAGGCAGGGATGGCACATAGCAGGTATTCAGCCGGTGACCAGTGAAGCCACATAAAGACGCCCAGGCCCGAGCCCAGGCGGAACGGCACACCAGACAATTTGTTGCCAAATTGCTCCTAAGGCTGCCGGAAAGCGGTCTCGGTCCAGACCCCAGGAAAGAATCGGGGTGAGTCCAC